TGTTACTATAAAATAAAATCGATAACGGTGCTATTTTATTAATAATAGTTATTGTACCTATAAACCTATAAAAGATAAAAAGTAATAAGTGGTTTTTATAACGAGTTATATTAAACTTATTTATAGGGGGGATTGGAGTTCCAATCGTCACTATGTTCTAAATAAAAAAGAGGAAAAAAAGAATAAATAACGTCGGTCGAACTTTCTGGCAAACGCGAAATCTGGCAAAAGCAGCCCAATTTTACTTTTTAAAAAAAGAGCAGCAAATGAATAATGCATTTGCATTTGCTTCCTGTCAAATAAAATAACTGTTTCTCGATTTAGAAGAAAAAGGTTTAAGCTAAGATTCTATGTATAGCAACATCACAGCATACGCATGATTTAAACTATCAGGCATGTAGAGACGACGGGACTGATTAGCATGACGTGTATTAAGTGGCGAGTCATGCTTATCTAAAATACACCAGGGATTTCTAGCTAACGTCAGTCTAGAATTTTGTTACTCAATGAAATAAAAAGAGTAAAATTTTAAAGAGAAAAGCAATATTTTATTAAGTTTCCTTAATCTTTTTTTCGAAAGTTGCTATATATATATTATAAAAATTCGCTGTTTATAAAGTCGCGAAAATCTGAATTTTTAGGTATGCATTTATTATTAGGTAATCATTTTTTTTATATTTAATATCGCTGGCAAAAATCATGCGATGAAAAAATTAGTTAATTTGAGTACTATTAAAATTTAAAAAGTTGTATTTCTCTGCTACATAATAAAAAAAACATTATTTTAAATAAAATGATTTCATACACTACAACAATTACAGGGCGCAGAAAAAGTGAGCACCCTGAACGACTTTTGAACTAATGATCAGACTTTCACGTACAAGGACTCAATCTAGACAGCTCAAAGGTCTCACCTTAAATACGCTAATTAGTTAGTGCAAATGATATTTCAGGTTACGAAATCAAACACAAAAACGTACTTTTCTTAAATAAACGGACTCTTTTATCAGCGTATTTGGATTTTTATGGGAGGGGATTATGCTCTATAAAATATGGTCCCAATATTTTGATCAGGAGGAGGCACTAAAGTTTTGATACACACTCAATTTCACTTTTTGCGTATTTCGTCAATATCTCCGAAATTAAAAAAGCGAATCAAGCAAAATTTTGTACGTGATTGTAAAACGTGTTTAAAATATAATTATTTTAATTTTTTATTATTTAATTTAATTAGTTTGAAAAATTGCACTTCAAAGTAAAAAAAATGGTAACACGAAGGTTTAAAAGATAAAATTCAATAGTTTATTCCAATTAATAAAAATTGACAAGCAATAATTTAAAAGTATACTATTTGAAGTGTCGAAATAAGTAAAAACAAATTACATTAAGGGGTCTAAAATTTCGATGGCTCTCCTATTAGGGCTACTCCCACATTTTGAAGGAAGAATTCGAAACCGTTAAAAAAAGGAATGTTTATTCGGAGAAACTGCCTTTTTGTGTCTGATTAAGTAATTATCTATTCGCATCGTCATACACAAAGTAATTAGCATACATTAAGTAAAGCTTTAGAACCATTACAATTGAGCCCTACTACTTGAAATTTCGATGATCAGATCAAGCGTTATTTAGGGTATTTGTTTTCTCTCTTATGCACTGTACACGGAAAAAAAATTCTGGCAAAATTACCGCACTGTGTGGTAATAAGATTTCTGGTAAAAAAAAAAACGTTATTATGGTTAATGAAACCAAATATGGGGTATTTAAATTATTAGTTTGGCAATTTTTCTTTCAAATGGTAACGGTTTATCAGAAATTCTGGTTTTCAAAATTATACAATTACAGTTCTAAGTATCATATATTAGTAAGAAATACAAAACCTAAAAGTAAATTTAACCAAATAAGCCGTTTCTATGCCATGATAAGGTGTCATGATAAAATTACCAAATTTTATCACTTATTACAAAGCCATATTTTATTGTAATTTTAAACAGAACCATTATCAAAGTACTTCGATAAAAAATTACTGAGCTTTTTGGTGTTCCGTTTAGCCATAAACACGAAATTTTACGATTCTCTGGTAGTTTTGGAGATACTTTTTTTTTCTCATTGCTCAATAAACAATTTCAAGAGATTTTTCTAAATGTTTCCAGGGAAAATATCCCAATAACTGATTGATTTTTTAGCTGAGGAATAATCTTTTATCTTCAAAGTATAATCAAGCAAGATGCATATTGTAAATGATAATTATACAAAAAAAAGGAATAAGTAAGAATTAAAAGAAATCCTGTAAGCAAATACTTTACTATTCGAAATGAAAAAAAATTAAATGAAAATATTTAATCCTTCATTGTTTTTTCCTTTTGTATACTTTTTTAAAAAGAAATAAAAACACTAATGTAGTCGATACTAAACACCAATATACACTTTTACTTTATAATTAGAGCGTCAGAAGAAAAATATACGTTAGGAACACTGATGTTCCCTCTGAGCTAAACGAATAGATAATTATAAATGCATGATCAATTAATGCATCAAATTATTGATAAACTCAAAATCGCATTTATGCATCGAAATAGTAATGATACTTCGATAACTGCAAATGATACATATTAATTGCGACAGTACATAAATCAATAGTCAAACACAAATTAATCAATTCGAATTCTTGTCACGGAACTATTCTTTCAATGCCACTAGTAATAGAGCAGAAATATGTATGCATCATTCAGGTTGTAGATAGTTTGTGTGTCATCCTAAATTCCTACCTTCTCAAATGAATCACAAAGGGTGGGAGGAAGTGCGAACAGGCCTAAAAATACCACTCTGATTCTAGAAGGCAGAACGCAAGAAAAGAGGGACATCCCTATCACAGAACATCTTACATAATCTTGAAATCTTCGTAAATTGCCTAATTTAGATGATCCCTGAATAGATACATACAAGTAAGTAAAAATCTCGATTATTATAATTTTTCTACAATTAAATTTTTTTTTATTTTTTTACCTTTTAAATGCATAAAAAATGTTATTTACTGCATTCTTAACCTTTTGACGCTGACTGGACACCGGTTTCCCTTTTATAGACTTTTTCTGGCGCTAAAATTCTGTTTGATTATCGGAATTATATTTGAAATAAAATATAAAATCCAAAAGGAAAGCAGCTTGAATCTTTTTTTTTTAATTTCTATTCAAAAATTTATCTATAATTGATTTTGTAAATGAAAAAAATTTAAATGATGAATAACTGTGTTTCTAGTAGATTAAAATAACTGCAAATAAGAGCAAATTTGAAAAATTATTGTTTGGAAGTAAGCTGTCAGTCCATATTTGCCAAGGGACACACATGTACCTATCTGCGTCTTTTTCTTAACCACGTAAATTATTAAAAACTATATGTAATATTTTCACATATTTTGACCTAATTTAACAAAAAATAATTAAAAATATATTTAATAAAAATTCTGTGTCAAAAGGTTAATAGTAACTACTAATACTTAATAAAAAATGGTCATAAAGGCTTAAAACAGATTTCGCAGTTTATTGCACTATAATGTGGATCCATATACATTTGAAAACTCATACTAAAATTTGAAAATTGCAATATTTGAAAATTAATAGCATTTATTTATTAAAACATAAATTAATTCTGACTTAATTAATAATTGTTTTACAATATTTTGATGATTAACTATGACCTTATTCCAAAAGTACTATAATGTGTTTTAAAAAGCATAAATTCTTTCATTTTTTTATTATATCATATGTAATTAAACTCAACTCATCATAAAATCTGAGCAAAATAATAAAAATGAAAAAAAAAATCACTGTATATAAGTATTTAGTTATTTAGGTTATTCATAATTACTTTACGTAATATACGAGCTTCAAATTCTTTAGTATGAATTTGAATTTGTTTGATTTTATTAGCTGCTTTTCCTTCTTCATAAGTTATATTTAAAGAAATGACGAGTATTTTTTCATTATAAGAAAAATTAATAAGCTAATAAATGGCTTCTATTACCTTGCTTATTATTAATAAATGAGTTCCATTACCTACGGTTTTGTATGAGAGTTATGTTACCTACCTATACTATAGTTTTTGAAAGGTATAGAGTAAATTATCATAATACACTAATGAAGTAAGCTTGAAAAATATAAAGAGATTACAAAAATTAAAAATAAAAATCAAATTTATAATTATTACAGAATAAGAAAAATATTGAACACAACTTGTAACCTTATAATGCATTTATAACATTAGAAAATTGAAAATTTTGTCATTTTGTTCTAATTACCCATTTCAACGAATTACAAATATGAATTTAAGAGAGTAGAAAACACTCTTTTACATTTTATTAGAACATTGTAAAAATAATCAACATCAAATTATAGTATAAATTACCGTCACTAAGGGTGCATCATCCACAAAATCCATTTTACCGTAAAATATTATACCGTAATTTTTGCAGTAGTATTTATTTAATCACTACTTTAACAATATTTATAACAGTAAAAATTGGTGTATATCAAATTTTTTAAAACATCTTCCGATAAGAATAGATGTAACGGTAAAAAGTACCGACGCCTGGAGAGGCGTTACTCTTCACCATAATTCGATCCGGAATTTGTTTACGGTCTAAATATTTCACAATAGACAAGCAAAGTAAATCTTACGCAAAGTAGTTCATTCAAGTTAGTGTAATTTGAACGCTTATTTTGCAAATCAAATAAAAGTAAAAATAAAAGCCGATTTTAGAAATATCATAATAATTTTTTTAACTACAAGGAAAAACGAAATTCAAAAGAAAAATGATTATATTTTAAATCTGTAATGCAATAAAAAGAAAGGGACTACTAACAATGTGGAGTAAAATATTGAAAGGTTGCTATGACACCGCAACAAAAACAAGATGAAAAGATAGAACTAAAATAAAATATCCCGATGAAAAAAATAGCACTTCCAATATACAATTTAGAGAATGGGGAAAAAATACAAATTACCTTCATCATCCTCAGCTTTGTTGACAATTAAGTATCCCGATGTTGTTTTACAGCCAGCAATATTTGTAGCGGTACAAGTGTACTTCCCGGAATCCTCAGGATAAGTCTCCGGAATGCAAAGAATGCAGACACCGTCTTTGGAATATGATATTTGGTAATCTTCGGATGGTGCAATTATGTTATGGTTCTTAAACCAGCGGATTGTCGGTAAGGGTGTTCCTTCCACAATGCATTCGAAGAATACTTTGTCTTTCTCGTTCGATGTGACATCTTCTAAAGGCTAAAGTAAGAAATATTAATAAAATTAATCTACATTTGTATTTAATATTTTGAATTTGTATGAAATTTTAGACTAATTTTCACACAAGTAGTTTATGAGATGTGAGTGTAACAATTGCACGCGAAAAAGAAAGTGAAAACAAATTTATATTTCAAAGGCTATTTCGTTCCATATTTTTTTAAAAATATTTTTTAGATTTTGATTTCGATATACCCTTTCAAGTGCTCTAAAAACAGTATAATATAATTTTTTTTTATTTTTTTTTGATAATTTGGGAAGGATAATTTTGGTAATAAAAAAGCTCAATGAAGAAGTTTTCTCTTGCCTTAACAATTATATAACTAAAATAATTTATGTTATGGATTGGTGTATTGGTATATAATAATTATTTTAATAGAGTGCTTCTGGCAAAAGAGCGTAATGAAATGCATTCTTTTGTCATTTGTTTAATTGCAAAATTATCTGTGGCTCCAAACTTTATTATTACTTATTAATCTCTAATTCATTTTGTAATTGCTATTGGAAAAATTAATAATTCAATCTGCCCTTCCCCAATGTATTCTATCTAAGGGTTTTCAAATGCCAGTATTCAAAATAAATTATCAAACAAAAAGTGTATAATTTATTTATTGTTATTTTACTAAATATCCTATAAAATCTTAAGAGTATATACGTTAGCATTAATTCATGTTCCTAAGAAAAGTGTGCAGTATTAAATAATTATTTTGCAGAAATTAATGCATTTTATTTGAATAAATCATCACTTAACCGCAACTTATCATCAAATTTGCGACTTATTAGCTTCAGTTTTATACCTTTATAAAAGGGTTCGATTTAAAATAATTGGTAAATTTATACTTAAAGTTTAACATTTATAATTTAGAGGTTCTTCTTTATTCATGTTAAACAATAGCTAATAACATGATAATTAATACTTCATAAATCTTCTTTTAAGAGTTTTAGGTGATTATTAGAAAAATATTATTAAATGTTTATGCTTTTTACAGTCCATTCAGTTTCCGAGGATTCAAACTTAAGCTTCGAAGACATTTATTATGAGTAGTATTGATTAAATTTTAATGACTTTTTACTAAAATTATATTTTCTAATTAAAAAATATATCATTTTTTATTAAAAGCAGCAAACGTGAAATGTATATGGTCTTGAAATAATTGTTAATTAAAGAAACTGAAAATTTAAATATTTAAATTGCAGTTTTTTTATGATGTTATATTTTTACATTATAGACATTTCAAAAGTACATAAATAAATTTACTTATTACTTTGAATAAAGTTGATGTATAAATGATTTTCTTGTTTGCTTACAGTATTAAAAATGCCATCATTCTTTTATCTAAATTTTAGAAAAAACTAGTTTGTCTTTAAGTGTTCAAAAAAAAAACACTTATCTTACTTGAAATGCTATTCAAGTTAATTGAAAGCCTTAAAACATAAGTGTTTAGTTGGAAAGCTTAGAAAAATGTTATTTTGTATCAAATATCAGTGAATTTAATTTCTAAAATAAATTTTTTTCAACCAAATTTTGCATTTATGGAAACGAATGTTAGAATTTAAATAATTATTTGTTAGAAATTTGCAAACGATGTTACGCGAAACAGCTTGTGTAAAATTTAATCTCATTACGGAACTGTTGAAATAAAACTTAAACCATTTTTAAACACGAGAGTATGACAAAAAAGTCGAATTTGTTCAAATTTATTTAATTTTCCATTAATCTTTAAATATGCATACGTCGTATTCTATCTTTTCATTTTACTTTTATACCTCAATTATTTTCTCTTAAACATCACATGATCTACAAAATTTTAAGAACTTATGCAAAATGCTTTTAAATTATCAATGAGTAAGACATTGTTTGGTGTTTATCAGTTCTTTTTTTAAAATAAAATTTTTCATCTGTACGTTTTTTTCAATAATAATTATTCACATTAAAACTCATTCAAATTAAATGTCTGATCTATATTCTTTATATAAAAAATATATAATTTTTCTTAGAAATTAAAGTATTTAGAACTTGATAAAGTCTAAATTGCATTTACCGAATAACGTTATTATTTAGAAAAATTATAAAACTGTATTAGTAGGTTAAACCGCCTCGTACTATTCATGCACAAAGAAAAACACTTCTGGTAAAGTTACCGTATTGTACAGTAATGACATTTCTGAAGAAAAATCCGAATTGTTGTTAATAAAATCAAAATATACTCTATTTCAACCATTTCTTGGTAACTTTTTCGTTCATATGGTAACGATTTACCAAAAATTCTAGTTATCATAACTGTAGTTCTTATTTTTACGCATTTAGTAAAAAGTACAAAATTGAAAAAAAAATTTTACCGGATAAAAAGTTTTTATCCCACGATCTAAGGTATTATGATAAAATTACACAGTTTTACCATATTTAACAAATTTTATTACATATTAATAAACCATATTTCATCGCTAATTTTACCTAAGTCATCACCAACGCACTTGGGCAAAAATTACCTATAGCTTTTTGGAGGCAGAAACAAGTTAAATTTTACCATATTCTGGTAGTTTTGACCAATTTTTTTTCTCAGTGTTGTTATAAATTATTAATATTAATTAATCCTTTTATATTTTCGTTGATAAAAACGTTTTATGATGATCATCTGTTTAAAAACAGCTCATATATTTTGGTAAATAATTAGAAGAAATATTGTCTTGGAAATATGATACAAATATATTAGTTTTCATTAGAGAACTTAACTGCACTAAAACAGTTATACTTTAACACAATTAAAAAATTTTGAAATAAAAGATGATAGATATATTCTACCTTATATATTTATTGATCTAAAAGTCAAAGCACAGTGACATACAATTACTAATGTTTTATAGCAAAATTGTTGCAATGAAATAACTTAAATATTACATAAATTTAAAAGCAAGTAGTTTTAAGAAATAGAAACTTAAGATTGCGTGTCTGGTTTATTGAATCATATGATAATGAAGTTTCCGATAAACCACTCAATTGTGTACTTTTATGTTCTTTATAATAAGCGAAACCAAAATCTCAGCAAATTAGTATTTGCAAATTGCAATTTAATTGAACAAAATGAAAATGAAAAACCATTTTCAGGTTAACAAAGCAACAATGACATTAAAGTCTTCAAAAACCAGTTTTTTTTTTTTTTTTTTTNTTTTTTTTTTTTTTTTTTTTTTTTTTTTTTTTTTTTTTTTTTTTTTTTTTTTTTGTCTAGTAAGAAATAAATGTCAACACTGTTAGAAATTTCTGGGGGAAAATTATTGAATATCAATTTATTTAATTGTTAGTTTACCGTATTTGAACAAATCGCACCAACTAAGTCCACCTAATTCAGCCCTTTAATCCCAGCTAAATACAGATTATTGTCGGGAGGACTTATCTGTCAGTATCATGACCAACAGAACAGTAGTTCGAGTCACAACATTGACACTACAATATTTCCTACATTCTCTTCTACACTTGAAGAGTTTCCGGCGCCCTTCCGCCCCCAATTTGTGACCCTGGATTATTAAAATACGATGCTCCCATTCACCCATAGATGGTAGCACCATAGAAGCTGATTATTACAAAAAATTCTAGTATTTTTCATATCTTACGATAAGTGAAACAACCAGATAAACTAAGTAAACCACATTCCATGGTTCATTTACTAAAACACAACTCAACTTGACTTCAATGCCCATTACATAACGCACCATTACCCTTACCCAATGTCCGATAAATTTCTTTTTTATGGTTTGAAACCATGTCGGTTGTAAATGGTTGGAAAACCATATAGTTTTGCATTCATGGTTCTTTTAAGCATACAAGTAGTAAACGGTTTCAAAACCATAAAGGTAAAATATGCTTTTTACAGTAAACTTTGCGGTTAATTGGATTGACAGATTTCTGTCAGTTATTTTACCATATTTTTTGAATGAAAATTCTAACAGTGGTGTGGTAATTCTCATTCCACTTTTCTTTTAAATTCAAGTTGGACTTGATTCAAATGAATTCGGTCCTGTGTTTCACCTCATTTATAATTCATCTTTGTCCGAAACAAATTACTGAATATTTTTTTTAATTTTTAATTATTTTTTATTCATTTCTTATAAGGGTTAAGATGTGTTAAGATATGGTAAGGGCAGTCAATACGGAACTGACTCGGCATGTCATAAAAGTGTTAAACGCAATACTTTTTACCACAACCTTTTGATAAATAGTATTACATTGTTTTAAGTAATAAATAGTAATAAATAAATAGTAATACATTGTTTTTCATAGAATTTGAAGCTTTTGGATGTGTTACTTAAGGCAGTCTTTACGTATCTTTAAAAGATAGATTATGTTTTGAAATAAAATCTGAACTTATTATATACTTCATAAACAGTATTATAAAATAAGTTAATATCTTTTTTCCAATTTACATAGTATTGCTGTGCAACATTTTAAATTTTTTAGCATGTCTTTTTATCAGAGAAAATTAAATTTTGACGATTTTTCTAATTGAAAAAATTATTATTATTTCAGACTTCTTGTCCAAAAGCGATCAAATACGGAGTCACTTATCTGTTACCTTGAAGCTACGTGAGAGATTGGACTAGTAAAATAAGAGTAAATAATCTAACTAAATTCTTACACTCATACACTGTAAAAAATAATTGTAAATTTTACAGAAGAAAAAAAAACATATTTTTCAAGAGAAAAAATTTTAAATTTTCTAAAGATCAATAGAGATTTTTTTTCTGTTTTTAGACATTACCCTCATGCTGCAAATTTTTTTTATTTTTTTGCATGCTTAATGGCTTAAAGCTGTTTGTCACAAAAAAAAGTTTTTCCCTGTTTTTTCATCCTAATCATAAGCTAATTAAAAATTAAAACTGTCAATTCTAATTCTAGTTTCCACCATGCAGTTGTACTTACAGTAAGGCAACTTTATCTTTTTTCAAATCATTTTACGATTGTTTCCGATACTTGCTCTTACTTTTCA